TTTTTTTTTTTTTTTTTTTTTTTTTTTTAAAGGGGTCAAAGTTTCGAAGGACCCAATTCGCGTCCCATTAAATTTTCCTTCTTTTTTTGAAAATTAGATTAGATTAGATTAAATTAAATTAAATTAAATTAAATTAAATTAAATTAAATTAAATTAAATTAAATTAAATTACATTCATGTTAATTCACGTCCCATTGAGCATCCGCGTCCCTTTTCCTCTTTCCGGGTTAGGTAATTTCTGGTTTAGCTGCTGCGTCGGACAACGCACATCCGTTCTTATCCAGCAATGGTAAAGCCTTTTTTTTCCTTTTTTTTTTTTTTTACTTTTTTACTTTTTTTGGGTCGGGTACGCCTTAGGCCCTTAGCGTTGGGGCAGTCCTCTGCCTGACGAGGGTTGGAACTCACGATCTGAGTCCACCCCAAGTTACATCTCTTCTTTTTTTTTTTTTTTTTTTTTAAACACACATCGGATCGAACGCCTGAATCTGGACGAGTTTATGGAGAAGTGTAGGAAATCGAGATTGAAACTGCTTTTCTGCATCTCTGCATAAAACACATCCAGATTCAGGAGCTCGATCCTATCCTTTTTGCTAGTGGGACCTCGGCCCAGGGTAGAGGCTCCATCTATTGGTGGGGAGCGTCACCTGCTGGAAAACGGGTCCAGCGTCCCATACAGAAAAAAGTACCCCAAGTTACATCTCTGTACCTTTTCTTCGTTCTTTTTTTTTTTTTTTTCGTTCTAGGGAAAAAACAGCAATCTCTGTAGCATTCCCCCAGCTGGGCAATACCTATCAGTTTTTTTAATGTTGATATGAGAAAGCTTTGCTTGTCTTTTTTTAGTACGTGAATGAACCTGGTTGAATTCGAGAGGAGTATATAGCTTAGCTCCCGGGGAAAAAAAAAAAAAAAAAAAAAAGAGAGATTTGGTCAATCCGAAGTTTAAGGGCCGAAGCTTCGTTCGGACTCGCAAAACAAGCATTCATTTTTTATTTTATTTTTTGGGGAGGTGGGGAGAACTGTGGAGTACACAAAAAAAAGAAAAAGAAAAAGAAAAAAAAAAGAAAAAAAAGAAAAAAAAAGAAAAAAAAAGAAAAGAAAAGAAAAGAAAAGAAAAAAACTGTGGAGTACGGAGCGCGAGGCTCGAACAAGCGATGGAAAACATCGATTGGAAACTTCAAAAAAAAAAAAAAAAAAAAAAAAACAAAGCGCTAGCACTTCTTGAGCTTGTCCTTTGTCTCCGAATAGCGTGCAAGTACGGGCGTACAAACCAGTAGTACTTTTCTAAATGCATCTGGCCACAATTACACCCAGAGACGTGGATGCATCTGACCTTAATCACGTCCAGAGCTCAGTCAAATAAAAAAATCCTAGTGTCACCATGCCCTAAGAGCCAGCGTATTCATGGCTGCTGCTGCGTTTTTCAGCATCATCTGTTTTTGGCTGCTATTTTTTGAAAATTTTTCGAGCCAGCTTGCGCTCGGTGGTATATTGCCACTTATTCTTCTTCGTTATCTTTGCTCCCTCCCTCTATTCGTCCATCACCGTGTGTTGCATCGTCATATCGTCGGCTGATACTCATCCGAGTCATATATATCTGCTGCTGCGTTGTTCTCCTTCTGCTTCGGACCAGATAAACATTTAAAAAAAAAAAAAAAAAAAAAATCAGAGGGGATGAGTTGTTGAAAGCGATCTGGGGGGGTTTCTCCAGGTGAATTGTGAGGACCCCTGCCTCAAAGCTTCATTTGGTAAATAAATAAATAAATAAAATTCAGAGGGGATGAGTTGTTGAAAGGGATCTGGGGGGGTTTCTCCAGGTGAATTGTGAGGACCCCTGCCTCAAAGCTTCATTTGGTAA